AAATGGTAAATCTTATAGTAAACAAAATCGAAAATTCATATATGTTGTTTCACTAAAGGTTCACATTGAGACATTGGTTGGAACAACGCAAATGTACCCAAGGAAGGTTGAGCCGATGCAGTATTACCCATCGACTCTTGGTCAAGAGGATATAAAACACCTGAAGGATCATCGGTTTTAATAGGAATCATAGCGGGAGCCATTGGAGTTAAACTATGATCAAATACAAGACTTCGGAGTTGTGGCGATGGTGGAGCGGAGGAACCGGGAGATATTCCTTTGGTAAATTGGTCATATAGCGATTGTGTCGAATCAAATGAGAATGAGAGGGCAGGTTCAGCTCTAGCGACAGTGGTAGGTTCTATCCCCATTTTTTCACGTTTCAAATCACGCTCTAAAGCATCCAAAAACAGGCGGTCGTGTGGTACAGAAAACCAATAGAACACTTTTTGCTTCTTTTGAGTTCTTATACAGTTGTTTTTGTACAACATTTCGAGAAATTCGGACTTAGGTTCTTCGAGGGAAGCATCCATGCCTGGCTTTAGGTTACGCAAGTCACTAAACACACCTTCTTCGAACTTTTTGATGTTTGTTACTGGTCTACCGAATGCTTGAAAGCGGAATACCAGACTCCGAACTATATCGGTACCTGTTATATGATAAAGACTATTCCAGAGAACACATGAAATATATTCGCCAGTAGGAAGAAGATAACGCCGGATATTTTGGTCTGAATCCCAATTAACTGGAGCGGTAGCTAGCCAATATTTTAGTTCGTCGACTTGCTCCATCGGAGTTTTCATTGAATTGTCCACAATTGAATTCATTTTTTACAGGAGTAGTTTTTTTTGAACAAAAAAAAAATAAAATAAAATAAAAAAGGACGAATGTGAAAATTGTAAAAATGTAGTAACGTTTTTTAAGAGAAGTGAAAAAAAAAGCCAATCTGTATCAAACAAATGTGGCGAGATGGAGATTCAAGGCTGCACAGCTCCTTGGTGATCTTTGTGAGAATGAAATGGGAACCTGAGAGAGAAATATTTTCCGCAGGCGGTGAAGAGGTCTATTATTAAAGTTGAGAGTCTACTTGGGTTGGGTTTTCAACAACGGGGGGAACAGGAGGATTTAATAGGACCAAAGAAAAACCAGACATGATCTTGTTCGTGGGGATAAAAAGGTGCTTGACGTTGAACAAAATGACTAAAAGGGGAACTTGTTATTATGCTTTTTTTACAAAATAGCAATGGGATCAGTTTATTGGGGATTGTTCTTTAAAAAAAAAGACGGGCACTAACACAGACAAATCCACATGTTCCACGACCCTTAAGAACGAGGAACAAAAGTGGATAATACTAAAAAAGTATCGGTATATACAAATACTTTAAACTGTATAAAATCAATCACTGCTTTTAGTTTTAAATTAATAATCAGCATTTTACTATTATTTATATTCAAAGACAATAGTTTTAATAATTGTAACGTAAACAAAAATATCTCGTGCACACAATATCATAATTTATTTTTATTAGATGCTTTTGTGTATCAATAATTTATACATTTATGCTTGATTCCGAATGTCCTAGACTGCTCTGATATAAGTAGATATAAATAGACAAAAAAGTAATGTTCGGATTGCAGAACTTATTGGCTTACAAGATTACATTTCACAACATGTTTAAAAATGGTATATAAAATGTAAATCGGCTTCTTTTGCATTAAATAAATTTCTTGCTAATTAGTCTAATTGCTTATCGTTCTGTAAAAAGCAGACAAAGGTATCGATATTACAGATAATAACATAATAATAATGTTTAAATAATTTATAATATTTTTAGCAAAGTATTACATACGCAAGTATAAACCAATTTTAGTTATAAACTTCGGACCATTGGTCCGAGGTTTCTGTATTAATATAGTATTTTTTGGTTAGACATAACTAAATTGGTTAATATGCAGATATGTATTAATACTCTTATATGTATTAGCATATATATTAGTAGTTATATATAATTACTGATTGTAGAAAATTGGTTAAACAAAAAAAGCAAATAAATAAATAAAATAAGCTTTTTAAATAAATGTTTTATTAATATAGTATATATTATCATGTTATAGGGCTAAGTGCTACAAAAAAAAAAATTAACAAAAAACAGCCCTCGAAAATTAGCAAATCGTTTTTGAAGGGTACAAAAAAAATGGTAAATCTTATAATAAACAAAATCGAAAATTCATATATGTTTTCTACAGTATAGGAATGAGGGTTTGCTAACATATAAAAGTATTTTTTTATTAAATAAACCTTTTTTGGTTTATAATTAAGTTGTAGAGCAATTTTTCTAATTCTAATGGTGGTAAAATCATCAAAATCGGTTGAATAGATCATGAGATATGAGTATTTTTCAATCGTTTACTATAGGGTTTTTTCTTAAGAAACGGGGCACTTACTATATAAGGTAACAAGCCGACTTTTACTATGACATTTGTTCTCTTTAACTATGAACTGCCAATTAACTTTTATAATTTTTATGTTATAAAATTTTATTATAATTCATATTAAAATACAAATTTTAAACAGCCATATTATAAGATTTATTAAAACAACTATTTGTATTTTAAGTAAAATGGTCTTGATTTTATTTTAAATCGATTTATACAAAAAAATATTTTAAAATTGTTAATGTTTTTCTTTAACAATATCTATTCTACTATATACAGTATACTATATATTATTTACTATTTACTGTAAATATATTATATAAAAACTAATTAAGCTATTGAATTATTACAGTATATATATTATAAAATTTATATTGTAAATTGGTTTTTATAAATTAAATTTTTTGACTAAAATTAAATATCTAGATAATTTTGAATTTAAAAATATTTTTTTAAAAACAATTTACAATATAAATTTATTTAAAAAATTAATAATTTTTAAATTGAAAAAAGTAATACTATATAACGTGCCTCTATAGTATTCCATGATATATCATGGGTTTAAAAATGCCAAATATTGTATTCTTATTTAAAATATTAAATATTAATTAATTAGATTTTAAATATAGCAACTACAGTCATCCCTCCATATAGTCACCTCCCATATAATCACACCATATGTAATCACATTTATGTTTAGGCCAAATTATGATTTAATTTATAAGAAAAAGACCTCCATATAAGCACAACTCCTATATTAGCACATTTTGAAAAAAATTCACTATGTGCCCAACTGTGTGATTTTATGGGAGGACGACTGTATAATATTTACAAATTTATAATACTGTATTAAAATTTAATTAAATTTACACTGTAAACTAATATAGTATATATTGGTATTTTTTTATTTTTAGAATTCTAACAAAAACTCACCTTTGAAGATTAAAAAAAAAAAAAAAAAAAAAAGAATTCTAACAAAAAAATTTCCTGTAATATTTTAAACAAAATTTATAGAATTTTAAATTTTGTCTATAAAGTATAGGCGTGTTCTACATTTCAGATCACGTGAACAAGGAACCTTGACTAACAAATTTATAATTCAACCAAAATTTATTCCGAATGTAAAAAAATTTTACGTATAATTATTTATTGTATAAATTTCCTATACAGCTATAATACTTTGACAATCCTGCTTAAGCTTAGGTTCTCAATTTGAAACCTGAAATTTTATTATTCAAATGAACCCCAAACCACGTAATAATGTCATAGACGATCCTCTAAACCGGTTGAACGACTGTTGTCCAACCTTGACGACGGGCTCCCTTTTTTGCCCATCTAAAATAAATTAACGTATATAAATCAACATGTATCATCGAATATATAAAAAAAATAATAATAACAATAATAAATGACATTAAACAGAATAACCTACAACTCTAAAAGTTTATCACCTTTATTATTTTGCTCACTAAATACAGCTTGTGGTAGTAAAGTCTCTATAATTTCATACATAACTCGTGGTTTAGCTTCTGTAAGCATATCTACATATGAAAAAGATATATATAATTGAATAATTCATAGGTAAGATATTATTATATTAATATTTGATTAATTATACCTGGAGCACGAGGCTTTATAAAATCGAATACACAATCAGGATTCCTTTGATGACGTAATTCAATATCACCATCCTATTTAAAACGTTATAACAAAACATTAACATTTAAACGGAGGCAATATGATAGTAAATTTTTTAAAGAACCTTTCTGAAAATTAAAAGGGATAGTTTCGATTTGTTAAAATAACGATATGGTTTACGCGATATTTGATTATTGATATTCTTTTTTATCCAACAGAAATTCTCCACATAACGGAAACGCCATTTTTCAGCTATTTGAACAATATCTGGAATAAATTCTTTCTCAACCCAGATAAATAAAAAACCTTTTGGAACGATTACGGATAAATTGAGATTACCCTAATATTATGATAATTTAAAATTTAATAAATTTGATATATTTAGCGAAATCATCACAATTAACTTTCAAGGCATTAACATACAAATTGCTGAACAGAAATCTTTCCTGGAGATGGAGCTTCACCTGGCAGGAGGAGTGGAGGATCAATATAAATTGCTTGAAACTCAGTGCCGAGTTTTGTAAAGTCCATTGATAAAATATCTTTTTCAAAATATCTAAAGTACGTTTATAAAAATAAAAGGACACAAATTTCTATATATTTAATATATTATCGAATGAAAAGAGTTGAAACATACCTTGAACCAATGACTGGAGTGACAAACTCAACCGATGGAGGAGATATTGTAAGTGCCCAAGAACGTGGTATTGGTAACGGAGGGATTCTCATATACGTTGGAAGACCTGGGTCGATGTTACTGTTGCATTTTATGTTATAAGTTAAAAAGGTAATTGATTCATTGTTGCCATTTACATAACGTATTTTACTTTTTTATTTGTTTTTTAAAAACAAAATGAAATAAGAATGATGACCTTATCAAATTCGACCATTATTCACCTTACTTTCTTCTTGACCGTAAAGAAATTACCATTTCTATCTTGAAGTCTAACTTGCATAATTTTATACCGTTGTAATAAAGTTTCTCTGTCTAAACCAGACCGTCGACTTGAACCAGACTTATCACTTTTCCTGCGTTTTCTTTCACCGAATTCTTCATCCCAGAAGTCATTGTCAACAGTCATATACTCGCTATTTAAATTAAGAGAAGGATGAATCACTAGCAATAAATAGCGGTAAATGGCAGTAAATGGCAGTAGATAGCAAAGCATTTAAACATACTCTTCCTCTTCATATTCAGCAGTATTGCCGTCCTCCATTTCGATCCTCCAAAAATCCAAATCATCTACTTCGTCAAGATTTGGAGCAAAGGTAGCAGATTTGACTGTAAAACTTGAAGTTCTTTTGAAAACCTCTTCAAGTTGCTCCTGTGTTAAACCTTCAGTTTCTTGTAAATTAGATTGTTTAATAGGAGAGTCAACTTCAGAATTCGATTCGGTATGTTTTGTAATGCCCATTTCTTCTCTGATCCGATCTAATTCTTCGAATTTTTTCATTATAGCTTCTATGGATTCGTCATCTTCCACATATCCAACATAAAGTGCATTACTAATAACATATAAAATGTATAAAATAATGAAGGGATCATAAAAAATAAAAAAGATTTGTACAAAGAACCGACATAAACGCGTCTAATCACACGTTAATAGTAACTACCTTGCTGTTGATGTGTAAGGATTATGGCGTCTTCTTCTCAAAGATCTCTCGCTCATTATTACTAAAGGTTAATTAACGTACGTTACGAATTTTAGATTACGTGTAGGGATCAGATCTTGGAAAGAAAGAAATTTAAGGCGCGTTTGATCGACAATTTATATTAATACGATCACGTACGATCACAGCAAAGATATATACAGTATATTTGTCGATGTTTATGTATTTGGCACATTGGTCTTTAAATCCGATTGGTTGATCATTAATATGCCTACACACTTTCGTACGATTGGCTGATGCAAATCAATTGCCCGGGTACCTTATTTATACAGTTTTGAGTACTTTTTTTTGAGAATGTATCGTTTCACTAACGAAAAATCAATACATCTAGAGGATTTTATTTAGAAGCGAATATGTTTACTATTTATATTACGTAAGCATTGAACGCAAAAAAAAAAAAAAAAAAAAGGATCAAGATGTTTTAGATTAAAAAAAATTTTTTGTGAGCTGTTTAATTTATCGTATTTATGTCAAATGCAGTATTTTTTTAATGGTCTTGACGTCTATATTGTATATATAGATATATAGAAGTCAACTTGTTAGAACAGCCCTAGCATCGCCCATAAAAAAAAAAAAAAATACCGTTGACGTTACATTTTATATGGTATTTATGTGTCACATGTTTCTTAGTAGACGAGATCTTAGAAATAACAAAAAAAAATGAGTACGTACGTATGCGGAAATTGTAAGCTTTAAAAGGTTAAACAACATTTGTAAAAATATTTGTTAATTTGAATTAGTTAGGCTCAAAAAAAAATTTTTTTTAAAGATCTTTTTCGTTCTTCTTGTTATATTTATTTTATCGGCTGATTGCCACATGTTAATGTACGAGTACTGCTGACAAGGGAAAACCTCGAACTGGCAATTATGTATATAATATCGCAAAAATTGTCAAATCGGGCAAATGATTGGCTTACAATACCGCGCAGCGGCACATGCCAGCCAATCATTTGATCGAGTTTATTATTCGGAATAATAAACTATAATTGCCGGTTCGAGGCTTTTCTCTGTCGGCACTCATATTAAATATGACCAATCATAACAGTAAAGCAATTTTCAAAAACTGATCTACCAATCATAGAAGTAACATTCGGATGGATTGTAGCACATCAATAATAATCAATACTAAGTATTACTAAGTAAAGTTACTATTTCCTGCATGAAGATGTCTTATGACAAGATCATGGCTCCATCAAGCAAAGCCCGAAGAAATATTCCTCGGGCGCCATTAACATCTCTGTCTATTTTTATGCCACAACTCTTGCATTTATATGTTTCTGATCCTTTAATATTCTGAATATTTCCACACCAACTATATGTCTTTGACATAAGCTTCATTTTGAATTATCACATGAGTTTCTTTCTTTTTTGCTTTTGAAATTAATCATTGTTGAAATTTGTAATGCAACCAACAAAGCATCTTTCTAACTGTTTTCCTTGTTATTTTTCATGATTTTCTGTTCACCATGTCTGAAACCTCAAAGGAGAGATAATGATTATATCAAACTCATCTGTTAAGAATTTGATTGTTTTTCGATAGATTTTATCCTGAAGTTGTCTGATTTTTTGTTTCATACAAAAGATGGTTTTGTCAACATGCAATGCTTTCTTCTTCTTTCGTTATGAGATTAAAGATGCCAATTTGTCTTTTTTTGATATTAGGTCATCTATATGTTTATATAAACAAAAAATACATCTTATATCATATTCTTCTATCTTTTTCACACTTTTGTTGAAGAATATATAAATAGAGTATGAACTCCTGGATCAATTGAAACTATATGAACATCTGCTTGTATTTCACAGATCTGTTTCTGTGCTTTGTATACCCAATAAAATATCTATTCATTTGTTTTATATATATATATAAGTTTACAATTACAATCTACTTGTTGCGATAATCATTTGTTATTCTTTTTCTTTTTTTCAAAGTGAAATGGGTATAAGTTACACTTTCCATCTTCAAAATTATTAGGTTTGCATCGTTTTGATAATAAAGTTAAAGAATCATTTTTATGTTATCCCTTAAACTGTATTCCAGGCAAATTTGCCTGGAAAA